ACTCCATTGCTTCAGTAATCCCTCCGTCGGTTCAGTACTCTCTTTACGTCGATGATTTACAGATTTCGGTTTCCTCCTGTAACCTCTCAGTCTGTGAACGCGGGGTTCAGCTAGGCATCAACAAGCTTACTAAGTGGGCTGACAGTAATGGGTTCAAGTTCTCTCCTGAGAAGACTGCATGTGTTTGCTTCAGCCGCAAACGTGGAATCCTTCTTGAACCATCCCTAACAATCTACAATAGTAATGTTAGTGTCCAACCTCAGCACAAAGTTTTGGGTCTTACGTTTGATAGTAAACTGAATTTTATTGCTCATGTAAAAAGCCTGAAATTGAGAGCTCACAAATCTCTCAATATCCTTAAAGTTCTCTCGCACCGGTCTTGGGGCTCAAATCAATTGTGCCTCCTGCGGATCTATCGCTGTTTGGTACGCTCCCGACTAGACTATGGCTGCTTTGTTTATGGGTCTGCCCGACAGTCTGTTCTCAAGATGTTGGATCCCATTCATCATCTTGGGCTTCGGTTGGCTACAGGTGCGTTTCGTACATCCCCTGTGCCCAGTCTATATGCAGAGGCTAACGAGTGCTGCCTCGAGAGACGTAGATTCGCATTGGGCATGATGTACTCTCTTCGCATCTTTCTGTACTCCAGCACCCTATTCGAGAAGTTGTTCAAGAAACACGCTCGGAACGACTGTTTCTTGCAAAACCTAGCGTGATCCCTCCATGCAGTATGCGACTGAGGACCCTGGCCGAGTCTGTCGGATTTGATGTGGCATCCCAGGTAGTAGAATTTCCTGGCATCATAGCACCTTGGAAGCACCCAGACATACACTGCAACCTGTCTCTTGCAGAGTATAACAAGAAAAACACTCCAAGTGCTGTGCTTCTGCAAGAATTTTATGAACTGGCTCAATTGTATGAAGATCATACAAAGTTCCATACAGACGGAACAAAATCTGAGACCTTTGTTGGCTGCTCTGTCATTGGCTCTTCAGTGGAAGTTGTAAGGCGGATAAACACTGTCGCTACCATTTTGACAGCGGAGCTGTATGGCCTCCTGCTGGCTACGGAACACATAGCCCGCCACAGGATACCGCTGGCAGTAGTTTTCACGAACTCTCTCAGTGCCTTGCGAGCCATCTCTTCTCTGCTACCAACAAGGAACGCCCTTGTTGTTGAAGTTCAGAAGAACGTTATTGTGGCAGCTAGAAAGCATTGCACCATTGTCTTTTGCTGGATTCCCAGCCATGTATCCCAGGAAATGAGGCGGCTGACCGTGCTGCTCGCACATGCGTCAGCAGGGAGGTAGACATAAAAGGAATCCCTTACGTGGACTACCGCTCTTCTGTAAGGTCTCGCATACAAGCCCAATGGCAAGCCAAGTGGAATGAAGAGATCTACAATAAGCTGCATCTCATTAAGCCAAACCTGGGTGAATGGGCAAGTGCCCGACACCGAGAACGGTTTTATGAAGTAATACTGTGTCGTTTGCGCATTGGCCACACGCATCTGACTCATGGCTACTTGCTCCGTGGGGAGGATGCCCCTTTGTGTGAACAATGCGATAAACCTCTAAGTGTTCTCCATTTTTTAATTGAGTGCCCCTTCTACGAACGGGAACGCCAATCTCACTTTGCACAGTTGTACAGAAATCACACTCCCTTACACCCAATCTTGTTGTTGGGTGATGAACCATTCGTGGCTTACAAGCAGCTTTTAAGTTTTTAGATTCTATTGGCCTTCTACATCAATTGTGAATTTCAGTTTCTCACTCATGCCCATTGTTGTTTGTGATTTAATCCAGTTTTATGTCTCATTCCTTTATTTTTAACCCTGACCACTAGAGTCCTTTCTTCTCACTTACCCTCAATGCAAGTTTCCTTCTTTGGCGCTCTTTGGCCTCAGCAGCCCTTGCGCCGTAAAACCCCAATCCCAATCCCAATCCCAAGGTTTGTGCCTCAATAAATGACGAATTTATTGCCACGCACAGTGCGCCCTTTTTTAGACCGATTCACGCATACATGACCTTATATAAGTTTCACGCATACATGACCTTATATAAACCTTTGGAGAAAAAAAAACTGTCTGGTATCATTTACGTTTGAAATATTGCCCTCCAAGTGGGCCTACGCGTTCTTAACACCATAATTTTGTTCTTTCTGACTCAGAGTCTGAGGACGCGGCAACGGTGACAATGTGGCAAATGCATTATACTGGCTCTAAGCAATTGCATACGGAAACTCCGAGGTGAAAGTTCATTCTTTTGTTTTTTTGTATTGTCTCTCTCTGAACGCAGATATCCCGTATGTATGACGGGCGAAAAGATATGCCGTACAGAAAGCGGCGTATCTGGAAGTGCTCCAGACTATTGCGGCCCGTTATCGTAACTCAGAATAGCCGATGAGTCTTACGCACACGACACATTTATGGGTTTTTTTCTTAATGACATTGCACATTGTCTGGATCACAGAGAACTTTGAAGGCGTGACTGCACTCGGCGCTGATAGCACCGTACAGTGCCCCTCAAACTTAACGCCGCCACTCGGTTTCGCAAATATTGATCCATTCAATTTTATTGCATGCTACCCAAACATGAATTGATCGCTGCAGCTGCTGGAATACTTTCCCCTGGTTAAACTTTCATCGGGGTCGAAAATCTTCACCAACCATTTTGACTGCCATGTTCAGGAATAGCTCAAAAAGTGAAGAAACCGAACCATCTCGTGGCGGCGTTAAGTTTGAGGCGCACTGTACATATAAAGTAGGCCGAGAACCCCACGAAACTATGAAACTTGCAGCGGGATTGAACATCTCTGGTAAGACGCCGGTGTAGCGATGCATGGGGAATTTTCGTTACGTGCGCCTGAACTAATTCGCCGTCGAAAGGTCATCGTCCCTGCGCTCATCGTTTCCTAGAGCTCGCAAAAACAACAAACGTCGTCGCGATGTATTGTTGCCTCTGGCTGATTGGCTACATCGGATCCTAGCCTAGGCTGGGGTTCGAACTGCGGCAGGAAGTAAAACACTGTTTAATTTATATTTATACGTAAAGAGCTCGACACAGTTTGCGTAAACAAGGGATTGACAGATTTTTCAGTTTTATTTTTTATTTCGTGAGAAGACGCGGGACGGATAACATTAATAGTAGCATTTTTCTAAAATGTATTCCTTGAGCATAGCGACTTCATTAGGCAGCAAAATTTGAAGTTTGGCAATTTCCCGTGTGAGCGAAATGCGCCTTAGCACCAGTGTTTTTTTTTTCGAGCTGGCTTTCCCTCTCCTGGTGCTACGCATTTATTGAGGAAAATAAGCATTAGAAAATATTGTGTGCTTTTAAACACTAAATATTCCGGTCTTAATTGAAAACAAAAAAAGAAACTACATGTTATCCGTTTTTATGACCCTATTGAAAATTCCATCAAGCTACGTAATTTGGGACACTGACTGCCAGTCAGCAGCCTTGGTAAAACGTGGTGGACCATCAGACGTCATCTGATGGTCCATCAGATGACGTCTGACTGCCACTGCCAAGGGAATTTCATCATCAGGGGCAGCATTTAAATAAGAGTAAAGCTATACGCACTCATAAATATCGCCAAATGCCTCGATAAAACAAAATGTTCGAGAAAAAGGAAAAAAAAAAAAAAAGTAGGACCACCGCGGATCGAGCCTGCGACCGCTTGCGTACAAATCGGAAACACTAGCCGCTATGCTACGCCACCGCTACAGAAATTTGATTTGACTATTCGTTTTATACGAGATGCTTCGGCTGCAAATGCAGTTAAGCCGTCAGCATGTTATGAAAGCACTCGTACATCACTCGCCGTACTTCAGTTCTACTCACCTGCCATGTAGAGTACTTTCGTGTCGTAGAATGATCCTTTTGTTCCCGCGTCATCGGCCCAGTAGACCTGGTACACCTTGTCGTCTTTAACTACACCGTTAAAGTCCCTTACATCGTCGGAACTCACAACAGGCTGGGTCTTGTCGAGTAGAAATTCTACTAAAACATAAGACATTGTAGAGCCCGGGCAGGATCGACAGGTTGGAGCAAGCGGGCAAACAAAACGAGTCGAGAGCGATCGTTCATGAAAGCTCGGCGAAGCCTCCATGGGCGAAGCGAAGTGCAAAGTGTCGCGTTCGACGCTTCGGCGGCTTCGGCGGGCTTCTGATCAAGGTTTTCGGTCGGTTGCGTGTCACATCTCTAACGTCAGCGGTTTTATGGGCTCACGTCCCGAAATCGTTTTCTCGTGCATAGATTACTTTTCGTATTCATAGATTTGACGAAATAGTGGTATCCGAACGAACTTTACGTCCTTTGACCGTACTTCTGTCTGCACGTCAAAGCTTTCTGACGTACAGTCAGAGACAATCGATGTACAGTCAGAATCACCACCAGGACATCCTGACGGCATTTCGCGGCGGCCGACTGCCAGCAGGAAACCATCAGAAAGCCGACAAGCGGGGTCTGACTGAAGTTTGACTGTCGGTCAAAGTAACTTGTTGTCCAATCAGACATGCTTGAGGTACAGTCAGGCACAGTCAGCGGTCCACTAGAAAACATTGACTGCCAAACAGCTTTACATTGATGGATTTTTCCTTCGGGGAGTTAGTCCGAAGAAAATGCCTTTAGGAACAACACGAAAGCTTTTCTACAACAGTCATGAGGCCTGGACGGTTAGGGACTTGCTGGGATGGTATACGTAGAGCAATATTCAATTGGTGTGTACGATTAAATACCTTAATCCGGGAGCGCGACGAAACATATTCGTCCCTTATAAGGCACAAACGGTCAACCTCATTGTGGTTTGCTGATTGTTTTTTATCCGTAAATTTTTATCCGTATCTCTAGGCTTGTAAGCCTAGAGAATTGCTTCAAATAATTACTGGGGTGGATCTGGGAACGCAGTAAGATACCCCGAAAGTAAGCCTTGAATAATATAGCTCGGATACATGTATTTAAAGATATGCTTGTTTTCAGCTCTTGCCAAACCGTCAAGATGGCCATCTTGTCCCTCTTCTGCGTGAGCCTGGTTATTGCGGGTAAGTAGAAACTTCCTTTCAAAAGAGCCGTCTTGGCGTGTTTTTTTTTTAGTAGTGTTTTATTCTACTTGATGTCAAAGTTACTGACCATTGTAGCCGACATTCCAAGAGCTCTGCAAGGAGAACGAAAATGTGATCAGTCTAGAAACATATGTGTTAAAAAGAAACACCCGAAATCGATCTCTGCTTATACGAAAGTACTCCTGCACTATTTTTGCTAGAGATTAACCACAAAGGGGTATTTACGAAAGAAATGTCGCTGCTTATAACAAGACCATATTTGGGTTTCAGATCGTTTAATGTTGACGTGTAACTAAAAAAAATAATTCCGTGTGCAGAGTTTTTTTTTTTTTTTTTTGGTGAGTTAGAGATATGGTTTGCTGCTGTTTCTTTCTCTACCGCAGTAAAAGAGTTTCGTTTCTCGGCGCCCCTTTCCGTTTAATGTCATCATGGAAAATATCCGCCAGCTCGCCTGCTCACTGTCAGTATTTTCAGTAATTTTCTGTCGGTTCATTTCGGAGATCTGTTTGTTTTTAATTTTACCAAATCTTAGTCGCTTCAGTCGAAGTCCATACAACGCCGCCTAAAACCTCGTCTCGAGCTCGTATGTTGACTGCTTCATCGTGTGGCTTCATCTCAACGTTTAATAAATTATTCTGGTAGGTTAAGGACCTCATCTAATGTCTCTTCATATTTAAATCAGTCAACCAGACTTAAAAAGGACGAGGTCATATCTTAATTCGAAACACAATTTTAAGCGTGACCGCACACCGTTTTTTTTTTTTTTTCATTAGCAACGATGGCATTTAGTACTATAAAAGAATACAAATCGGTTCTCAAAGAAAATTCAGGAGGCGAACGTAGCCATAATATGGATTCTATTGTCAAGAATGACAGGGTGATTATACTTAAAGTTCTTTTTGTATATTTGCATTTTGGGGTAATTAATTTTTGCACGCACGTAATATTCGGTACAAAAGGTATAACAAACGAACTCTCATGGTAGCATCTCATAAGACACAAAGTGTTTAAGTGTTTGTTTTAAACCGCGGGAAGGCAGTCAAACATAGTGGGCCTCTGATTTAACCGCTGCAGACGAGAAAGTTACCCGATACAGTACCAGTGCTAACCTGGGGTGTTCAACGAGCATCGCACCGTAGTTGCCCTCGACGACACGCCGGTTCGATGCTCACCCAGGTCAGAACGACAAAAAAAAAGGGATCCTTCAGGGACTTTTGGGTGACGTCGCCGTCTCTCCTTTTCCAGCGACTACGGTCAAGTTACGTTCCCGTTTTGTTGGTTAGTGCACCCAATGAGTCGCAGCCCTTTGTTGTCAATAACTACACGCAATCACAACTGACCTGGCCGTCGTATCTTTGCGTCAATTTGTGATCAGGCCAATTGAATATGAGCGAAAGACAGTAGTCTACATCGATTGACACCCATTACCGACTTTGATGTACTAATTATGCCCCAGGAAACATTCGAAGGTTTTTCACAACACTATCAAAAACGCGCGACGCGGAATACTCAGACTTTGCAGGAAGTAAAGAGAGGATATGAGGACCTTGTGTTCCGATTCAATCAACCTATCAAAGGTTTAAGAGGTTTCTTGATGAGTTGGGCGAAAGGCTGCCGTGCACTGACTTTCGGATTCGCCAGAAATATACTTGATACTGCTAATAATCTGTGGCGTTATCTTTCGCTTGCCTACGTAGAAACGAGATACTGCTTTCCACGCGGAGGCTGCATTACGTGTCCTGGAACATAGCGTTCTCCAAGAGCAACGGTGTCATATAGTCGGGGTGCATCTGCTATCAGTTCTAATTTTATCACTTACCCGTGACGCAAAAACTTCAAGAAATCATTTTGCACTGTTAATGGTATCGATATTAGAGAGTTTTAGGATAACGTACGCAATTTTAGCGAACGCTAGCGCTAAATGTGGCGCTTGTATTAGCGCACGCGACGCACGAGTTTTCAAATAGCGTTTCTCCTCCGCGACGCAAAACCCCAAGCAGCTCGCGCTTGCGGCGCCACCAAGATACAGTAAAAATTTTTATTTTACTCACGAAATGCTGTAACTTTAGAAAAAAGCAAGCTTTTTGGTCCAGAGCAGCATTTTAGATTTGTTTAAACATGATAATGCGACGCCTGCGGGTGACCGGTCGTGTCCGCTTGCGTCGCCTCGGCAAGAGAGGTCTCGTGTACTGACCTTCGCACATCGTTCCTTTGCCGTGAAATGTTCGCGCGTCGCAAGCATGAAGTTTCTGGTGATCGTTGCCAAACCGAGTACAATGTCGTCCCGTATTGAAAATCGCAGTCGCGAGGATGCCGCCGACGTCGCACTCACAACGCCGCCACAGCAACCGCCGACATAGTCCTGGAAGCCGCCATTTTTTAAACTCTGCTCCTCTTGGCGTCAGCCAACTTGTCATCACGAATCCTCCTTGGAGAAGCGCAAAGACTCTTTGTGTTAGGACGCTATTTCCGAGAAATAGGCACGCTAAAATTGCCCACGCAAAGTGCAAAACCTGATTTGCGTTGGGAGCATGCGCAGTTGCGACGACGCTATTCTTTGCGTACGCAAAGCTTTAGCGTACGCTATTCTAAAACTTCCTATTAGGTGTTTAAGCCATTGTATAACTGCTAAATAATTTGTAATCTAAATAATGGATTAAATGTTTTCCGGTCTATGGCGAATTCATTACTATATCAGGAAGCCATAAACCTAATTCTTTGAACTACGGGACTGCTGTCTTTAAGTAAAATATGCAATCAATAATGTACGAATAACATACTTTTTACTTCAGTAAACGTATAATATTTAAACCTTTGAATACTTGAATCTTCACCACTGAAACTTACCTTCCAATGCAGTTCTTTTGCGTTCTGCGTAACCAGAATAATGTATGTAGGGCAGAATATTCCAAATAGCGTTGTGAAATATACACGATATTGAATACCAAGATGTGTGGATTAGATTCTTATGTGGAGACTATGCTATAATTTTCTAGAGCGTATTGACATCCTAAATATTTATGTTATGCCACACTGCTCTTACATTCTGGCAGTTGGACACATTTTCTTTATTTCTCCCGATAATGTGTTTTTATTTTCGAAGCCTGCTACTGCAGTCTTAGCTTCGTGACCAATGCAAATCTGACTACAATGCCCCCTTACCCACCCAGAGGAATTCATACACTAAGTGCCACTCTGAAGCAGATGTAATTATTTGTCCTACCAGGTGCAGGCACCAACTGTTGATAGAATTGTTTAGTTTGCAGATAATGTCATTTGAAAATTTGTTTTACTGAGCACGCGTGCAAAACGTTGGAAACGTATTATTGCCCAATAATAAGCGATCTTCAAATTTTCGAAAGAGAAGTTATTAACTTTTCGGCATATCAAAGTTTTCACGACAGCCGTTATACAATCTCTAGCAAACTTGGCACTGCAGAAATAATGTACAATCAATAAATACCATTTTATATCTTTATGCTAATCTTTGTATCAATAAATCTATGGATTATTTCTTGTGCGTAAAAAATAAATAATAAAACAGCTTACACGAGTGAGGAGAAATAAATAAATAAATCACACTTTTTTCATGGGACGATACATCTAAAAAAGGGATTTAATGCCGCTTTTACACTACCTATATAAGAGCCATAAATTTCTGCTCGCGGGAAACCCAAGTTATGTATAAACCGTGCCTGGAATTCACGACAACGCATTAAATTGCACTTTTCTCAACGCATTGCGGTGTCATTTAAAGAAATAAAGATTCTCGATATATTCAAACAAATATCACCGCCAAACACGAATAGCATTTGTGGCAGATTTCACTACATTTTTATTATTTATCGTAGCCCTGTTGGAAAATTTCGATGATGGAAAGTGGCGGAAAAGGCTCATACAAGCGTAACCGTAATATGGGACATCCTAAACAAGCGAATCGGCGGATCCAGTATAGTGGATTAGAGCGGAACGATACAGGTAGGCGGAACCATACAAGCGTGTCGTATCATGGGACATCCTATACCAGCGTAGTGGAATATGGCGGAACCATGTGGAACCATACATGCATAACGTAATATGGGACAACCTATACCAGCCAAAAGGCGATACCAGCACGGTGGAGCCACATGGCTCCAAAATGCTGGTTTCGCCTTTTCACTGTTGTACAGGGCGATTTAGTTTTAAGCTTTACATATATGTTTAGAAAGGTCGTGAAAGCTAAATCAATGCGGTTTGTCCAGGCGAGTTATACGGCCAGGCGTACGTAGTGTAGGGACCTAATCGTAACGATCAGTCAGATAATTAAATACAATTTGTTAATTAACTTTTTAATTAGTGAAAATGAAAATATGGTTTCAATTAGAAACTTGCCGAGTCATTGAAAACCACAAAATCAACTCTTTTTAGAAGGATATAATGCAGGGGTAGCCTTTTACGTGTTCTGTAAAAACGCTTTATTTGGACGAGTTTCTAGGTTTCAGTTCCTTATCAGAGCTCATCTCTGCGCCCAAGGTCCTGTTCCCCCTTAGACACGCAACTCACGTGCACAGACCGCGTAAATGTAGCTTTTACGGCTTTTTTAAAAATATCTGAAAAACATACAAATAAACACTCTCTAGAATGTCCCCGAATACGATACGATTGTATGGTTCCTTTCCCGCTTGCATTGTTCAAGAAAGACTTGTGGACATCCAGCGTTTCATTGGAATGCTGGATGTCAGCGAGTCTCCACATCAGTGAGTGGTTTCAAACAAGCATGATGTTTGCACACCAGAAAGCTCTTATCCGAGGCTCACCAGGAGCACTAAGAGCAGAGGCAAAATGTCGTGACGTGGTAAAATTGGTTGCAGGTATTTATTTTTAGAAGACCTGCATGCAGCAAAGCTTAACTTTGCTCAAAAGAAGATAATATAAAACTTCAATACTGAACAATGGTGTCCCTTGAGCTGTCAGGCCAAACTCCCACTCTTGCCACTCAG